AAAAGATTTAGATTTTGTTTCCAAACATGGAAACAGTTTGTTTTTAGATTGTGAGAAAAAATTTAAAGATCTTTCATAGATTCAGTGAAAAATAAATAATAATTATAGCACTTAAACAGAACCATCAAAATAGCCAAGCAATATAATTCAGCTGAATAATACTCATTGTGAGCCTATCATGTTTCCAAGCTCCATATTAAGTACCAGCTATACAAAGGTAAATGGCACATGTACAAGGGTACTTCCAAAAGTTCATGGAAAGATTCATATCTTTTAATTATATTTTTCCATGAACTTTTGGAAGTACTCTTGCATTGTGTGCTGAAGGAATTAAAGTCTAGAAGGGGAGCCTGATTTTAACAAATAATTTAAAATAGAATGTAATAGATTTAGCACTAGAAGAACGTTTAGAGTTAGCCCAGTGGATAAAATACTCAATTCTGTGTGAGGGCATCAGAGGAAATTATCTCTGATCTCTATCTTAAAGATTGAATGAAATTAGAGGAGGGGGATAGCTTTAAAGCAAAAGGTGGCATGAAAACTTAAAAGGTTTGAGCAATTTCGTAGATCTGTTTTTTTAGGAAGAGCACATACATGTAGGGCGGACTACAGGAAAGCAACAAATATGAATATGGCATTTAGCACACTTTTTTTTTTTTGTCAAGGCTGTTTTATTGAACTTGTAGTTACAAAATCCTAAGGGTTGTGAAATTAATGAACAAGAAAATATAACCAAAATATAGAGTCCCAATTTGACTAGAACAGTCCAGTTTACATCTTCTATTTTGATATACTACATGACATATTTCCTAGGTAATTTCATTTTTTAATACATTATCAATAGTAGTTACATTCAAATACTCATAAGTTGATATGAATTTTGGTAAANAAAAAGGTAAATAAAATAATATTGTAGGCTAAAATGGAACTTATTTGAATAAATTATCTCCAAGTGAATTTTCTTGAAGCCTGGCACTAGAAACGATATCACATCTTGATGGATCGGTAAACACAGTGAAAGTCCTTGAACTCCTTTCATGTGTTCTATCATTTGTAAATGTAAGTGCACACACTCACACAGAAGCACAAAGAAGAGCCAGAGCAAAATACCCCCTCTCTTACCTTCCAGAGGTCAGGTGATCCTTCTACAAGTTTGGCTTTAATGTGACAGTATTTTAGAGCCAATTGCAAACACTCAGTTCCAAATTCCAAGTCATAGTCACTACACTGATGTAGAAAGGAAAAAAAAAAAAGACAGAGTTAACAAGCTAAAATACAATTTTAAATATAAATAAGCCTTTTATTTCACAATCAATTGCAAATAGAAAAAGAAAAGCCTAGAGAACTCACAAAACATTTAATCAGCTACTGATTTATAGAATAATCCTCCCTGTGCTCTAGCGGGGAAAAAAATAGTAGATAGGAATATTGCCATTGTCAGAAGAGTTTTGAGCTTCCTCGGTAGTTTCAGTTGTCAGATAAATATAATACTTTATTTCCTTTGCTTATAAGCTACGTTTCCAAATGTGTTTATAAAATGCCTAAAGGTAGGGGCTGATTACAACTATATCAGAACTCTTAACAAATACACATACACACAAACCAAATCCCATCTTATATTTACATCGAGACATTTGCAGGTCACAGTTCTCATT